GGCCAGAGGTGGCCGACATTTCCCTTTTTGCAGCCACTGTCCTGAGAGCCTATAAATAGGCCTAGAGATGTTCATTTTCGGGGGTCGAACTTTCAAGAGCCGAAACTCTGCCGGATTGAAGAGTGAACTCGGAGCTTTGAAGACCAGAAGACTTGCACATTCGGATCTGATCCTCGGCGACCATCCACGTCAGAAAAGGGCCAGAGGTGGCCGACATTTCCCTTTTTGCAGCCACTGTCCTGAGAGCCTATAAATAGGCCTAGAGATGTTCATTTTCGGAGGTGGAACTTTCAAGAGCCGAAACTCTGCCGGATTGAAGAGTGAACTCGGAGCTTTGAAGACCAGAAGACTTGCACATTCGGATCTGATCCTCGGCGACCATCCACGTCAGAAAAGGCAGGATCTCGAGAGGAAGAAAGAACAGATCTGAGATCTACACGAGACTACACTCCAGATCTAAGCTTGGTCTTAGATCTCGAGATCTAAGCGATTATTCCCTTGGTGGATTAATCCCTCTCGGCTATTATTCCCTTCGTGGAATAATACCCGCATAATCGTGTAGATCCGACCGGATCTAGATCGCGCGGTGGTCCACGGATTAACCCCGGCGTTGGCAAAGAACCCACACAAGCAAGCAACCGCAAAACAGGAGCTTGCGATTTGTTCACAAGAGGAAAGTTGTAATTTTTATCTTTTTTCTTTGATTTAGTTGTAACCGGATCTATAAAAGACCGGATCTTTGTAACCCAAGATGACAATCATATCAATGAAAAAGAAAATAGTTTTCCACGCGAACAGACATTGTGTTTATAAACACACCCGTACTTGTACTGGAGCAAGGATCCCATTGGATTATCAAAACTTAGTGGGTATATCCTATGATGTCGATGAAGAGCCTGAAAACTCTGTTATTGCAACATCCCAACCTTCTAACACCGATCAAAGTGAGAAAGTGAGCGCTCCCATGGACAGGTTTGAAGAGGAAGTGGCAAGAAGGTTGGAAGAACAACAAGCTACTCTCCTCCAACAACAAGAAACCATCAGATGCTTGGAGGATATGGTGGACAAACTCCTCAAAGAGAAGAAGAAGAAGAAAGCTACCACCGAATACTCAGGATCAAAGCAGTGGCGACCTTCACCCAGTGCTCAGGAATCTAGCCGTCGAAACCAAGATGGTAATAATGAAGAAGATGAGGAGGAAATGAATTTTAATATTCACTCTGAGTCATCCGAAGCTAAGTCCAACCCGCGTAAGAACAACCGAGATCATCAGTTGGACGATTTCCAGAAGCAGCTTGAGGCTTTGAAGCTTCAGAGAAACTTCAGAGAACTGGGGGTCGTCAGGCCATACCCTGTCGAATAGGACGCTGTTCCTTATCCTCCAAAGTTTAAGCCACCCAGCCTCCTATAGTTCGATGGAAAGGGTTCTTCGACCCAGTACATCTACTATTTCCAGGCGCAGACTGGACACATAGTGAGAATAATCCTATTATGACTTGACTTTTCATTAGTACCCTCAAGGGGGTCACTTTTGAATGGTTTCGCAGACTGGAGCCTAAATCCATCACTTGCTGGAAGGACATGGAAATGTTCTTTCTGGCCAGATTCTTTGACAATGACATAGAAGTATCTATGGCCACCCTGCTAGTTGAAAAGCAGAAGAAGACAGAGTCTATCAGTAACTTTGTCAAGAGATTTAAAAATCGGTCGCTGCATTGCTGTGATCAAGTATCTGAAAGTATGTTGATCGAGATGTGTCGCAATAATCTCTCGATCCATATTTCCAAGATTGGAGTGGTGAAGACCCGAACTTGGAAAGAGCTTGTTCGCCAAGGAGAACAGGTCAAAAGCATGCTCAAAAAGCTAGATGCTGAAGAGCCATATGATTTTCAAGGGGGTGATGACCAAGACAACCTCACCCCTCTGAC